AATCCTAAACCTGAAGCTCTAAACCCCAAAACCCTACACCCTAAAACCGCAAACCCTAAAACCCGAAACCCTAAAACCCTAAACCCTAAAACCCTAAACCCTCAAACCCTACCCCAAAAGCCCTAAAGCCCCAAAACCCTAAACCCCAAACCCTCAACCTCAAAAGCCCTAAAGCCCTAAAACCCTAAACCCCAAACCCTCAACCTTAACCCCCAAAAGCCCTAAAGCCCTAAAGCCCTAAACCCCAAACCCTCAACCCTAAAACCCGAACATCCGAAGAAGCCCTAAGCCTAAATCCTAAACCTGAAGCCCTAAACCCTAAACCCTCCTAAACCTGAAGCTCTAAACCCTAAAACCCCGAAGAAGCCCTGAGCCGCTTCAGCACCTCCTGGGCTTGGCCCGGCCCCGACCCTGGGGCTGCCGGGATCTCGGACCCCGCCTCCTTTAGGGGCTTTGGGGTTTAGGGTTTTGAACTTTAGGGGTTAGGGGTTTAGGGTTCAGGGTTTGGGGCTTTGGGGTTTAGGGGTTTTGAACTTCAGGGGTTTAGGGTTTAGGGTTCAGGGTTTGGGGTTTTGGGGGGTTAGGGCTTCAGGGTTAAAGGCTTTAGGCTTGAGGGTTTAGGGTTGAAAGCGGGCCGAAGCACGGTGGGTCAAGGCCTGCACTGCTCTTCCTTTTCTGAGCAAATGGCGCTGCGACCACGTCACTGTGAGTTCGCAAGCTCTCTAGCTTTCACAAAGCTTGCATGGGCCCCACGACTTTAAGTCGTAACGCCCCAAAACGGGAATCACTCTGCCACTTTTGCCGTAAGTCTGTCCAGACCCATCTGCTTCCTACGTCTCCCGGAAATAAGCTCAGGATCGTACACAATCCTCCATTGTCCCTTTCTCCTATGGTATTCACAAATTTGGTGGGGCTCGGTTTCCTTAGTAAGGGAGTTCGCTAATTGGCTATCTCCATTGACCCAACGCAGCTGAAGTTTGGTGGCATTCATGCTTTCTTTCAAACACATGGATTCGATGTCAGATCTCTTTTCCTCACCACGGAACGTCATCACCGTACGGTTCAACCGGTCATACAAATTCTTGCTGTCAGTAATCAGAACTCCATCAACGGTTTTCACAGACTCATCACAGGACCACAACGACACGGCATCTCCACGGAACTCACTCACCTGAAGACGTATGGCATACAGCTCATCCTCAGCATCCACTGCAGACAAGGTCTCTGCTGCAGCCGAGCTTCGACAGGTCCTATGCGCTTTAGCAGACTGCCAGAATATAGGACTAATGTCGACCAAGTCCCCTTGCATCAGCCTCTTGTTGGTCCATCCAATGAAGATCCCCTTGGTGGATCCTCCATCGGTCCTGTTGGCATGCGCTGCATCTGCCCACGCTGCTAGTAGCGGCTCTCCTGCTTCCTGTTTGTGGATTATCAGCTTTTGGTGTTGGTTGAGCTTGGCTTTTCTCAGTAGCTTGTTGGTTTCCACAATATCCGCCACTGTACCGGAATGCACCTTGGAGAGCAGCAGTCCTGTAGGCGCGCTAAGCTGGGGCGCTACTTGCGTGGCCACCCAGGATAGTGCCCCCAAAACGCTCCTCAATTGATGAAGCTCATGAGGGGTGACTGGGGACTCAGGTGAGTTCCAACGACTCCTGCTCACGTGAATCTCGTCCACGCTGTCTAGGTAGTCTGGCTGGCTCAGAACAAATCCCTTTTCAGTTTGCTCTATGAGTACTCCACATTGGGTGAACTTCCGCTGCTCCCATTGTCCCCACTTGAACCTAGATTGAATCTGATTCTTTATGGCTTGCCACTCAGGACAATTGACTCCACC